TTATTATAAAGCAAGAAAGTTGCATAACTTATGAAAAGTTCCACATTTTTTACATGGTTTTGGATTATTATACGCATTTCCTTGATAATTTGAAGATGATTTAGTACTTTGTTTTGTTTTACATGATAGTTTTTCTTAAACGGCAGACTTTTTTCCTCTGAATGTGGAATTTTATTCCGTTTGATCACTTCTATTTTATTTTCTTCATTTGAAGTTTTGCTAATTCAGAAGCTTTTTACACATTTTAATACATTTTTCCAATGTTAACTGATCTTCCCTTAATAATCTGTCTTTGAGATTTTTATTTAGAATTCCACTTACTATTCTATCTCTTATTAAACTATCTTTTAATTCTGCAAATCCACAGTTGCTACTTAATTTCTTTAAATCTGTTAAAAAATCGTCAAGCGATTCACCTACATGTTGTGTTCAACAGAAAAATATATGTCTATCAACACTTTCGTTTGCTTTTGCTTTCGGTATACAAAAATTTTCAAAAGCTTCAATTGCTTTGTCAACATCCTTCTTATCTTCTTCACTTAAATTAAAAGTATTAAACTTTTCAAGTGCTTCTTTACCAGTAATATGCAGAAAAACAGTCAAAAGTCGTTAATCCGGACTCGTCGGGACTTCGGCGATTCCGGATTATGGATTTTTCCGGATTATAGATCATCAGTTTAAATCTCGTAAGATGGCATGCAGAAATTCTAAAATAAAAAATATTAAACCGTAATTTATGAAATAAAGAACAATTATGATCTAAAGAGTATCAAAATTTACAAAAAATAAGCTTAATATTTATTTGTTTACTTTATTAAATATTTCTTTCAATGTAAGTTGTTTTAGTTGCTTCGTTTTTATGTGATAATACTTTCTCTTTAATTCTATAAACAGTCATAATTTCTTGTTCAGTTACAAAGTTCTGCTGTTCAAGTCCCTTTAATTGCTGTGCCGAGAATACCAACTAACTTGTCAATCGAAATTTTTTCGTTTTCACTAACCTCTCTGTCACATTCTTCATATCTTTATCCATTTTTTGCAGCAATTCCACTTTTTGTTTGTTGGACATCGAAACATACTTTCGTTTTGTAGATCCTTTGGAAGTTCCAGCATCGGAAATTCTATTTGACATAATCGAAAGTTCAAGTTTACTTTTATAAAATTGCTCTTACAGTCTGCAAAAAATAATAAGCGGGATCCAATTCGAAGATTAAGGAACAATGCAATCATTAACATTAACTGAAATAGATAATTGGATAATTTTAGCTTACACCATCCGTTATACATTAAACGCGCAGGCAAAAACGTATTCTGCACTTGCGCACACGCATATGCGCAGTAGTCAAGGTCTTATGCGCACGTGTAAAACGCCTGTGCGCATGTGCCAATGCGGCGCATGCACAGAAAGTTTTTAGCTTTGAGGTCCGATTATAGATCATTCCGGTTTATGGGTGTCCGAATTAACGACTTTTGACTGTAGCTATTTTAATTTCAGGTGATTTAGTAATACCATCAGATGCCAACATATAAATTTGGAATTTTTGTTTCTATTTTTTCCAATTTTTGCTTAAATTACCTTTGAAATTTAGATTACTCAGTGGCTTTAATCCATCCATATTTAATTTAGAACTTTAAATAGTTTATATATACGTATTTTTAGCCACTTCAAATAAAAATAAGCAATGCACTTACCTGGGATGGAAGTTTCGATTTCACTGTAAACAACTTCCCATCATGATTTGGTTTAAAATATCCTTACTGTTATTCATATGTGATGCTGCATGGTTCTTCAAAAAAGATTTTTTTAAATCTATTAACGACTGCACCACATATTGTTTTTATGTTTGATATGTGCTCAGTGATGATTACAAGATGTACACAACCATCGTTTATTCTACATTGCTAATCTTCTATTGTATGTTACAGTTATGATTAATAATAATAATAGATACAGTTACATATGTAACAATGTTTCTCTTAGTTCATTTCTTTTTTTAAAAAAATATAACACAGCTGCCAACTCTCCTGGCAGATCACTGAATCTCCCACTTTTAACTTTTAGGCTATATCAAGGAAAATTATCCTTGCAATAATTGAGTTTAATGAAATTTAAATTTAGCATATCCCATGTTCATCACCCGTAGTGGTTTTCAGCATAACTTTTCGTAGTACATTTTCTTTAGTCTGTATTCTCGTAACCTACTGCAGATATTTATAGAACTTTTAATGAAGGTTCAAGCAATATTTAATCATTTTGTATTTAATTTTGTTTTTATCAATATCTGGTACCTTACTAAATTTATCCACAGAACAGTACATGTGTTAATTATCAATTCAATTTTCGTAATATATGAAATGACTTTAATAAATAAAAGTTTTCCTTCTTTGCTCAGTATTTTCAGTGTAAAAGTGTGGCAAATTATGAAATGAAATCATCTAAAGAACTAATTTAGATAGTATATATATATAAATTATCAATTTAATTTTAGTATTTTTTTTAATTACGCTGGTGCAGAAAAGTTTTTCTTCCTTTCTCAGGATTTTTCAGTGTTTAAAGTCTAAAGAAACTATGAAAAAGAAATTATCTTCATAGTTTTGGTGAACCACATCTGTTTCGGTATACCTAAAATCCGCAGGCTGGGCCAGATTGACCTCAATTAGTAAAAACCTGTGATATTATGCTAAAAGTACACTGTAATTATTTGGCAATGACATTTATTCATTTTTAACATTAAATTGCTATAATAAGTGATAAAAAATAATAAGATATTACAATATGGAATATTGTGTACAGTTAGTAAAATATACAGCCAACTTTAATAGAAATATTTAGCTTCTTACAAGTCAAGATTTCCTACACAGTTTATGCACATTTTGGGCAACTTCTTTTTATATATTTTGTACACTTTTAACATATCACTATTTTACGGTCAGAACAAGTATCTACAGCTTTGTTTCTACACTTGAAAGCTTGGCAATGAACCCTTTTTTGCATCTGTGCAGATTCTTCAGTAGTATCCCCTTTTGTCTGCAAATCTGACTTGTACTTTCTTTTGTGAATGTACGCACTATGCAACTCTTCAATGAGTTGTTGAAGATAATCTCTCCTCGTAAGTTTTTTCCCAGTAACTTCATTTTATAAAATCCACGAATTAGTTCCTTCAGGATCAAGAATAATGTAGAATACATGAATTGGCCACCTCTTTGGCCATTTGGTTGATAATGTCGATGCCAAATTTAGTTGGGTTATAAAATGATATTGTTTCTGGAGGCTTTTTTAGGTGATTATTGTCGATATTAACTGTGGGATGAAGGGAGCTCAATAATAAGACATTTTTGCTTGCTTTTCTCTTATAAACTGTCAAAGTTATATTATCATGCTCCAGTAACAATGTATCATATAATGGCATCTTTACTTTTTTCACAAATTCAGGTACTTCTTTCCAATTTCATTTCATCGTTCCAGTTAAACAAGTGTTCTTCATTGTTAACATTTGGGATAGATTTAGTATACTGAAAAAATTATCTGTAGTGATATTTCTTCCATTATTTTTGAAAGGTTCTATCAAACGTAAAACAATGTATTCAGAGAGAGATAGGTTTTCAGGACGTTCCTCATCTTTACCCATATATGGGAAACCATTGAGCATTTATTTACTATCAACATCAACAGCAAGCCAGAACTTGATACCAGATTTATCTGGTTTACTTGGCATATATTGTGTGAAACGACATCAGGCTTTAGATGGAAACAGCTGTTCATCAATAGTTATATATGATCCTGGTTTATAGCAAGTTATCGAATTTTCAATAAATTTCTTCCAAACTTCAGACGTGAAACAGAATTTATCTGTTTAAAGGTGTTCAGATTGTGCAGGTTTTTTTTTTTTTGGTTGTTGTTTTGTTTGTCTGTTTGCTTGTTTGTTTTGTTTTGTGGTTGTTGAATCGTAGAAATTTCATAAGTGTTCTCTGAATCTATCTCTTGCCATAGAAAAAAAGGTGGACCTCAAACAACAGACCACAGACTATCAAGCTCTAGATTATTTGCACCATATATACCTCAAGCATACAAAATTGATATAAAAGCATCTAGTTCGTCTAAAGCTATTGATCATTCATTTTTTTCCCCAGTTGACGGTGAGCTTCTTCCTGTGTACAATTTTTTATATGACAAAGCATAGGCTCATCTATAAGTTACTTCGCTTTGTATAACTGGTTGGGCCACTCTTTTCTTTGAAAATATTATGTTCAGCAATTCTTCCACACATACAACTTCCAGAGGAGGGGGATCCGCAACACTGGATACTACTAACTACAACAAAATTCTCAGCTGCTCTTCTGTTATCAGTAACATTCTACTGACCGTGAAGTATTGTTCTGCTTACATCTGGAAAATGGAAAGAGGACTGAAAAATCTTTTCCCATTCCAGGAAACACTGAATTGCAAATTTAGTGCTTGTGATTATAATGGGGTCAAAATGACCCATTCTGCAGTTTTAGGTATAAGTATTAAAAACAAAAAAATTATAAGTATTTAAAGTATCATATTTTCACAGATTATTATTGGTATAAAATTAGGAAAAGCGAAGAAATTTTTTTCTATTCCAGTACTTTTTGAGAAAATAGGAAACAAAACTGTTTCTGGGTCAAAATGACCCCATCCATTAAAACATAAATTTATAATATATAATTAAATACTAACATATTTTACATGATCATATTTTAAATGGTTAAATAACTCAAATCAAGATTTGTAAATTAAAATTAGTTTGGAATTCTTTTGAAATGGTGTTGCCTGCTGGCACTGCTTGGTTTTATGCGAAAATCTTCCAGAAACTCCTGGTTTTTGCACAACAACTTTCTCCTTTTTCATATTTTAAGGTTGGCAGCTGTGATTTTCAAGTTATTTTTCAAATGTAGAAGATCACTGACATATTTAATGTTTATACAGTATCTGACTTTTTTGTAATTTAAATGTCTCTTCTTTGCCCATTCCTAAGGAATTATCACATTGTGCACGCTGCTGGTATCTTCAATCAGCAGAAAGAGGATCCATGTTCCAGCAATACCTCAGGTGATTTGAGCATTTCCTGCTTTGGAAAACTATTAATCTGGACTATTATTAGCTATTGTGTTAAAGTAGACCTGTCTCTTCACATTTCTGTTGTAAGATGTGAATATTTTGGCATGTTTCAAAAACCTACTATGGATAGAACTTCAGGGTATCAAAAAGTGGACATGTCTGGTGTTATATAGTAATAAAAGTATACAGTCAAAAGTTGTTAATCCGGACTCCTCGGAACTTCGGCGACTCCGGATTATCGATTTTTCCGGATTGATCATCAGTTTAAATCTGGTAAGATGGCATGCAGAAATTACAAAATTAAAAATATGAAACCGTAATTTATGAAATAAAAGAACAATTATGATCTAAAAGGGTATCAAATATTTACAAAAAGAAAAAACTTAATATTTATTTGTTTACTTTATTAAACATTTCCTTCAATGTAAGTTGCTTCGTTTCATGTGATAATACTTTCTCTTTAATTCTATTAAACAGACATAATTTCTTGTTTAGTTATAAAGTTCCGCTGTTCAAGTACTATAATTGCTGTGTTGAGAATACCGACTAATTTGTCAATCGAAATTTTTTTGTTTTCAATAACCTCTGGGTCACTTTCTTCACTATCGGAAGCGAATTATAATGACGAGGAAGTTGATTTAAATCATATCAAAAACGGAGTACATCGAGATGAAATACTACACTTAGTACGGAATTATAAACCAAATAAAATAAAAACATCTGCCCTGAAGATAAGGATAGTGCTGACAGATTAACTTCCAATCCGCTCCGTGAAATTGATAAACAGATTTCAGATTTCAAAACATACTTTCGCTTTGTAGATACAAATTACATATTAGTAAATATATATCGGAAATTCTATTTGACATAATCTTTCTAATCTATCATAATCTAATAATGATGTTTCTGCCCCCCCCCCTCTGCCCCACAGCAGCGTGAAATTGATAAACAGATTTCGGATTTCAAAACATACTTTCGCTTTGTAGTAAATATATATCGGAAATTCTATTTGACATAATCGAAAGTTCAAGCTTACTTTTATAAAATTGCTCTAACAGTCTGCAAAAAATAATAAGCCGGATCCAATTCGAAGATTAAGGAACAACGTAACATTAACTGAATTAGATAACTTTAGCTTAGCGTATAACTCCGTTACACATTAAACGCGCATGCGCACAAACATATTCGCAGCCGTAAGGGTCTTACGCGCTCCTCGTAAAACGCCTGTGCGCATGCGTGAACGCGACGCATGCGCAAAAGTTTGTAGCTTTGAGGTCCGGATTATAGATCATTCCGGATTATGGGTGTCCGAATTAACGACTTTTGACTGTATATGGTAGCCCTAGTATAAACTAGCTAAATGTGCCGTATATTTTCAAGTCTTCTGTGAGATATATATATATATATTGTTTGTATTTTTTATTTTGGATTTCTCATTTACTGCTATAAATTTATTTTGTGAATGTAACTCTATATGTAGCTCTCATCCTGATGCTAGATTCTTCACAAAAGCTGTATATTATTGATGTAGTAGGTAAAAAGAAAGGAGATAATCATGTGTTTTCATATGCATGATGCTTATTGTTGTTAAATGCTTTTAATTGCAAGTAGCGTGTTAATTGTTCTCTTTTAGTTTTGTATTAATTAAAAATTGTTATATTTTTGTTTAAAAGCATATTTTTAATGTAAAATACTGTCATTGCATACATTTCTTTTAATATTGATTTCAATCATAATTGAGAAGCTTTTAAAAGTTAAATTTATTGTTACTTTACAATTCAGTAATTATAAAAATTTAAATATGTTGTTATTTAAATAATGATCTGTCCTCTCTTTCAGTTTACTTTTTTACTTTTGCACACCAGTTGTATCTATGCTACCAATTTTAATTTATACATATGATCAAAATTTTGGTTAATATCATTTCAGATTTGTTATTGTTAGTGGGAGGGAAAACAAAGCAAAACCCATTTTGTTGTTCACTGTTCACTTTTGTCTATATATTTGATTTTGTTTGGTTTAATCATTTATATTGTTTGTCAATGAATCAAAATGACAAAACTGAAGTTTTGTTTCTAATACAGAGGATTCATATTTTTGCAGATGCACAGTTTGTGCACTACTTGTTTTAATGGAATGCTATGTTGATCCAGAAAAATATATGGTTAATCAAAGGGTTAAAAATCCCTTTGATAATGTACATAATTTTGTATAACCAGAAGTTCACTATAATTTGCTTCATGTAATAATTTGTGTGATTTTATGTAAATCCACTCAGTCTAATTTGTTGAGATTAAATTTAAGCATTTTATTTAGCTATTCCATGTAAAAACGGCTTGCAGTGCTAATACGTAGATAAATTTATTTTACTGTCTTTTAATGCACTTTCTGTAATATTATTTGAATAAAATTAAGTTAATAAATCACCATTTCATCCAATGAATATTGCTTGTGGCTGTTGGTTTGATTGCTTTATGTTACTGTAGTACTGATGGAAGTAACATAAACTTATTAGTTTAAGCTCCTGTTCTTGTTCCTGTTAATACAAAACTGTTCTTGGTTATTTGTATTATTACTGTGATTTTTGTTATATCAAATATTAGATTTCACACAAAATTTTGCCTGCACATTGTAGGTTATTCTCATTATTTATTTTATTTTCACAGATTTTATCTGTTTTATTTAGAGTATAGTTATAAACTAGTTATTTATTTAATTTAAAAAAATTTTATATTCTTTTTTTTCATTGTTAAATAAATTGTTATTGTCTTATTAATTTTTTGCTTTCTGCGGGGAAAAGAAACCTATTTGATTTTTTTTCCCCCTTCCTTCCCGGGAAGAAGTTCCCTTGCATGCATTGAAAGTGTGCATGTGCATAATTACATGTAAAGTAAAAAATGAATATTTAAAATAAAATCCCCCTAACTTTAATTTGTAATAGCCTTTTAACTTTCCTGTTTAATTGGATTATTTCTCTTTTTTATTCTAAAAATAGTCACACGCTCATGTTAAATCTTCCTGAACTACGTCAATTCAGAATTAATCTCTAAAATGTGATGTTTAGTTACCACTTATGATGCATTTACTTACATAATGAAAAAAAAATCTTTCAGTAGGTAATTATGTTAAAATATGCAAACCAGATTGTCAGTTTAATCACTAGTAATAAACTAAAATTATACCTATGAAGTATTTTCCTTAACCTAACCTTCTTATTGTAATCTACACATTCTTTCATTTTCTGTCTTGCTCTCATGTAATTTGTAGCTTTTTTTTCCTTATTTCAAATACATTAAAAATATGAAAATTACAAATTTATTTCTTGAAGAGTAGGCATGCAGAATAAGCCAAGTTAGGTGTGTATCTGGAATGTTTTGACAAAAATAAAGAAATTTTGAACTGCTGTGACCACAAGTACATCTTTATATAGAAGCTGTATTATCCACCGTAAAGTTTTCATTGCATGCCTACATAAATTCATATGTTTTTGATGTTGGTATTTTGTTTATTAAGCTATGGGCATTTTGTGAGGTATATGTAAAGTAGCTTATTCTGTCAGATAATGTATTAATCATGCTTAGCCGCTATTTTTTTATATTTGACCCAGTAAAATAAGAAAAAGGATTTTTATTTATAACATAGTTATATGAGTAAAAATTTTAACAAGCTCCTGAATTTAGTTATTGTTCCCAGTTATTGAGCATAACAAAACAAAATATGCTTCTTAAACTGGATACATTTAAAGCCAGTGTTAGATCAGTAATTTGCTGAAGTTAAACTTAAATATTTTTTCACATCATTTATTGTAAACACTCTGTATTTCATTTATTGGGAGTCATTATTTTTCTCCAATATAATTCCTTTTTTTAATCATTAAAATAATTATGACATAATATATGTAACTAAATTTCATAATTTCATATAGCTTGTACTTTGTTCAGTTATTAATATTGCTTCTGTTTGTTTAAAAAAATATTGCTCTTTCTTAGTATGTTACAATTCACGCTTACATAAAAGATTTGGATATAAAAGCAAAATAAATGGAAAATCTTTATGTAAAATCTGCATAGAATTAATTTAAAATTCTTTAATTTTACTTATTGGACGTTAAAATTGCATAATATTTCGTAATTACTATATGTTATAAATTTTAGGTTAGGTTTTTGATATTCAGGTTGATAGCAAATAAGATGACTTTTACAATTTTAGACCAGAAGTTCCTTATACTCCTCTATTTACTTATCCACTATTCAGTATTTTCTTATCTTTCGTGTATTCCCATAGAAGGAATGTCTCACTTGAAATGCGTTTTTGGAATTGCAGCTGATCATTCTTCAGATCCAAAAAGGCATAAAATTAAATATCCGAAATGTTTCATTTGTCAATTTTATAATAATGGATCTGAACAGAAATACACTTTACAGCAGCATCTTCATCTATATACTTTCAAAAAAAAAAAAAAAAAAAAACTGTTCAAATGAGACATTTGTTTTTGATGCTTCTTATACAAAGATTCTGTGAAATATCCAGTATTTAGTTCTCATCAGGTTCATTTTTTTATTGTGCACTGTTATGACTATACTGTTAAAAGTATAGTCATAACAGTGCACAATAAAAATAAGTGCTTAAGTTGTTATTGCATGTTTTATTATTCATTTTTTTAATGGTTATCGTTTGTTTTATTTCATCATTTTTCTTTTTTGAATGTATATTTAAAATGCCTTATTTTCTATTGCTCATTGTGTGCTGTAACAGTTCTTATTTATTTATGTTAGTGCATTTAATATGTATTCTACATATCTATATATGCATGCTTATAGCCATTCTGTTTTTCACTTCTTGTTATTTTAGTGTATTCTTTCTGAAAAGTGTCTTCTGTTTTAGTTCTTAGTCCACCTAGAGAGTATGATTCTTTTTCAAGAGAAAAGCCTGGAGTAAATCCTAGAGGGAATAGAGGATCACGTTTGCAAGCATGTCTCTCTGTAAAACGTTTTACTTGTGGATTTTGTGCAAAAGGGTTTCACCATAAAGTTCATATGGAACAACATCTCCGTGTTCATACTGGTGAAAAGCCTTTTAAATGTGGATTATGTTTACAAAGTTTTAAACATAATCAATCCTTGAAATATCATATATTTATGAGTCATGAGCCATATGTTTAAACAACTACTCACCATATCCATTTGCTAAAAAAAGGGAATTTCTGTTTTTTAATTATTTTTATTTATTTATTTTCTAAATAAAAAATAAAATATTTAGTATATGCTTTGAAATTCATGTAATGGCTGTCTCGTATGTAATAAAAAAAAGGTTTTGAAATATTATGCATTAAAAAATTCCAAGAATAAAACAACATATGCCATTTATTTTATTAGTTCTTGTTTTAAAAAGAAATACTATCTCCTGTCACTTATGACTTTGAAGGGACTGATTAAGGAAAGGATAAAGGAGAGAGAACTGTGTTCTGAAATATAAATGTGATATACACATGCATTACTCATCTTCACATCTTAGGTATTTTCTGATAATCTGCCCCCCAACATACACACATGAAAAAGTCACAAACTCATTAGTGACTTTATATAGAATTTGTAAATTCTTTGGTGTCTAATTTTTTGCCAAGCTGATGTGCTAAGTTAGCATCATTTTTCAAAATGATGATGCATTAAGAATTCCATACAAGAGCAGTTAATCAATAAAATTAAAATAAATATGAATAAAATTTCTGTTTTTCGAGAAATTCTTCTTATTTGTATTGTTGTTCCCCCTGTTTTCACTTAAAAAAGACTTGCTTAAACTTGACACTTCACTTTGGCCTTGCACATCAGCCAAAAAACGTATAGCTGGGATTCCACATAAAAACTGTTTGGTAACGTGGATTGCCACATAACTATTTTGGCAATATACTGCTTAGTATTATGAAAACTTTTCCCCAACTTTTCGGTTGGGGGAGTGCAGATAACTAGAAAGTATCTACATTGTAAATAGGAAGTTTTTGTATATTATTGGTACCTTTATTGTTATATTTTATTATATTATTGATACCAATTATGTATTTTAGAAAGTGTTGTCAGTGTTAGCTTGCTTTTGTTTAAGGTGCATGTAAAAAGCTACCTTTGTATTTCTTTAAAGTGTGCCATTCCTAATTGTGTTCCATTAGTATTTTGAAGATAGTATTCTCAGTTTTCCTAATGCTTTCAGTTCATTTGTAAAGCATGGAACACATTTGATAGCAATTTTATTTTCATCATCATTATTGTATTTTCTTTGGTTACCATATCATCACAGTTAGCTTCTATATTCTTTAATTCAGCTTTTCGTAGGTTTTCCATGGACTTCAAGAAAATCTTTAAAAGCAATTATACAGTGAGTCCCAATGATCCTTCTTTATGATTGCTAAATCTGAGTTAGTTTTACTATCTTCTGTGCTTTGCTCACCATTCAAATTCAGACTTTCTTAACAGTATGAACTCATTTAGGATATAACATTATGCCAGGCTGTAGTCTGCTTCTGATGACTTCCATCTTAACATCAGGAGCTTATTCAGAAATCTGGAATGTAGGTTTTCAGTTTTCAAGATAGAATTTTATTATACAGAATTGAAATAAAATGTATTTGATTTTTTTGCATTTTTTAATGCAGTTTAACTAAAAATGGGAAAAAAGAAATTCTGCATCTTTTGCTCATTTGAAAAACCCAGGATGTGCGTAATTTCTAGGCCTGAAAAAAAGAGAGCTTGAATTTAGTTAAGTGGATGTATAGTAACCCTGTTGTAAACTAATAACCAATGTTGTGTATTTCTGTATAATGTAATTGCATTGTTTGTACTTTTACCTTGAATTTCTAATTTTATATACTGTATGTAGTTCAGTGTATGACGGATTCTTAGCAAAGCATACAAGAAGGTAATCTGTTGTATGCTTTTTTAATTTTTGTGGCTTTATATAGCTAACAGTGTGCATCAAGTGTAAAAGCAGTTATTAAAATGTACTTTTTGTAATGTTTTGAGTTATTAAGAAACACCTGTTATTAATTGAATATTTTAAATAATGGCTTAGTGTTTTAATTCTTCTCATTTAGTTATTTATTGACTAAAAACTGTTATACATTTGTGTAAATGTAAATTTTTTAACAAAAAACTATCATAGTATGCATTTTTAGCATTGATTTAAGTTATAATTAAGAAGCTTTTAAGTATAATTTTAAATTTTTTCAAGTTTACATGTGTATTATTATAAAACTTTAATTATGATTTTATTTCAATATTATATCTGTTGTCTTTCTTTGAGTTTATTTTTGGTATTTTTGTTTGAGAAATAATAAAATGTATTTGAAGAAAGGTTTTTATTTATATGCTTCTGAATTTAATTATTTTTATTAAATATGAATAATAAAGCACAAATTTCATTTAATTTTTAGATGACTTTATTTGGCTTAATTGCATATAAGGATTGTCAGTAAATTAAAATGATAAAACGAAATTATGAATTTAATAGACTCATGCAGTATTTTTTTAATGTCCAATCTATAAGCTGTTATTGTTAGAATAAAAGAAGTTTAGGTTTTGGCTTTCCTATTTAAAAAAATTTTTGTGACAATTTTTGTTTGGTTTTAGAAAATTGGAAATCTGTGTCTTAGTATGTTTCATTGTTTTTGAAATAAGTATATCATATGATATATACATATATATTTCTTTTTAATTGCATTTCACATGTAGAATACCACAACATATTTTCCTCCTATGCTGTATATAATCTATATGTATTCAGGTATATCTCTTCTTTGCCCATTTCTAAGGAATTATGTTTCTGTGTGCTTGTTCCTGTCATAAAAATGATTAATAAGCAAATAAATCCTATATATATATATTTTCTTTCTACAAATTACATTTTGTTTTGGTAATTTTTTTTTTCTTTAGGAGTAGTATTTCTTTTATTTTGAATGTAGTTGCACACTACTACTATTTTATGTACAAATTACTTTACCCGAGATTTTATAATCTTTTTATCATTGTTGTAATGAAAATGTATTATTGTGTTTATTGTATTCTTTCTGTCCATAAGAAAGAAGCAACAGTTTGCCTCTGCTTAATTTTTTTTCTTATAGATATTATTAAAAATGATAAGTGATATTGTGGATACTTACACATCCTTTTTATATTTTGCATAATTCATTGATGAAATGCAATAAAGCAATATGCAAATATAGAAATGAGCATTGTTGCTATTCCACAGTTTCCAGTTTCATTTCACATATTTAAAATTAGTGCAAGAAAGAGAAGAGGTTGCAAATAGCATGTTACAAAAAATACTAGCATAAATCTAGTGAACTAATGGCTCTGTTTTATTTTCATTAATTGATTAAAATTTTTGTTTGCAAATGTTAATGTTTATATAGGCTGAAAAACTTTTTGCAGTACGTGAGTATGTGCGTTATGATCATTTACGTATCACTTAGAAAAATTTATTATAAAATTAAAACTTAATTGGAGCAAATTGCAATGGACTTCTTAAATTACTAATTTTTAATCAAAGTACAGCCCTTTCAAGGTATCTGTGCATTCCCTGCCATATCTACATTGCTGTAAACTTCTGCCTATTCATAATCCAGGACTAAAACAAAGAATTTTTGAGCTTATAAAAGTATCACAGCCAATTGTGCATCCTCTTTCACCACTTCACCTTTCTGCTGACAGTGTTTCGCTTAGCCTCTGCCATTTGAAATGTAATTACATATCTAAAATTATGCCCCCTGTTCTACAAATTAAAAAGATAATGTGCTGAGAAATTCTTCATCCATAAGTAAATGATGAATGGCTTTTAGTGAAAACCCTTGCCGGTTTTCCGGTTTTCACTAAGAAAACACAAATTTTCCAAAACTACTATGAGAAAAATTATTTTCTTGATTTTGATGTAAAACTTCTATGTAATGAAGTAGACTTAGATGCAATGATGTAGAAAAATTGATATGCATAAATGTTGAAGAAACTATTGATTCTGGGGAAGAATGTTGATCCATAATAAACTACAAACTTGGAAACCAAGGCAAATTGAATTTTCCTTTTATTTCATGGGACATGTGGAGCCACTATTCTCTTGGCACTCCATTCCTGCCTATTTCATACATTTTTGATAGCTTTGCAGTAAGAGAAGCAGCAGTCTATCTGTATAGTGTATCTAAGCTGAGGTGTAGAAAGCAAGTTTGTTGTTATCCAATATGGCAGTTTATTTAGAAGAAGGTTTTGGTTCTTGTGTATACCAAATGAGCTACATCATCATCATCATTATGTAAAAGTCATAGGATATGTATTAGTCTAAAAAGGATGCAATCCAGAACATGATTATTATTTTTAAAATAGAGAGAGGAAATCACCACATTGAAAGGAAGAATTAAGGAGCTATTGCTAAGCTATAATTTGTTGTAAATATTTTTTATCGTATATATATATATATATTTATTGTGTGTCTATATATGTAAAGAAAAGCGTATGCACATGTTTGTACATTTTTTTATGCATAAATAAATTTTACTATCCAGACTGTCTATTGGAGCATGTGCATTTTGTCATTACATTTAAGATAGTTTATCCAGTTAGATATTTTATTAATAATTCTTCTGGACTATTTTTTGACATTTGATCCAGTGGAACAAGAAAAAAGTTTTATTTATGTAAGTAAGATTTTTATCAGGTTCTTGAATTGAGACATAGCATTGTGCCCAAAAATGCTTGTGCTGCAGCTTGCTAATGCTTTATCAAGAAAGTTTGCACTTTAGCCCATTTTGCTGGGATTTCATAGATAAAAAGAGAAAGAAATAGAAGTTTTTCAGCAAGAAGTAGGCTTATCTTTTCTCCTTCTGAAGTTATTCAGTTCTTGTTTTGAAAATTGACTTGAATTTATTGTTTGGCTCATTTTTATATCTTCATTGTTAACTTCCTAGCAAATGGATTTACCTAGAATTGCAATACCATAGATAACAAAAATGGCCAGCCTTAAAGATCTGTGTGCAGCACAACGTGGTGTAATTTCGTCCATGCTGAATTTGCCAGTCATTTATTGCCAAGCATTTTTTAAATTAGAGTTAAGCAATCAGAAATATTAAAATGAATTTTCTAGAAATCCTAACGTGTTAATTCTTAGTCAGAGTTTACTCCAAAACATCCTTAAAAATCATTTGTTGCTGATTTAAGTCCTTATAACCTGAAATGCTGTTCATTATCCAACACATTTCTTGCTCAGATTTGTTGATGATGAGAGAAGTTCATAATCAGAGGTTTCCTAAATAATAATGATAAAAAAATAATTTGTCGCTTCCCCTTGAGCATTCTGGACTTTCAAAATTAAATGTTTATAAATCCATTCAATGCTAAATTTCTGTATTTGAGTTGTGACAAGATCGCATGGATGTTCTTTATTTAATTTGTCCAGCAGGATCGAACTCCGAAGGCAAGGGTGCCTACTCCAGAAGAGAAATTCTGTTGCAACGAGGTCCCTTTGTTAATGATTCTGGTTTCACCCTCAAAGGTCACTCCAACAGTTCCAGAATGAAAAGAAGCATTTTACTGGCATCCGAATTTGGACATCTTTGTTATATACCAGTGGAGGAATTCCCCCCTCCCGTCATTCAGCGGAGACAATGACACCATGAGTTAGTAAAGTTTTGGGCAGCAAGAAAGAAAGATGGTTTTCTGAGAAGAGCAGGGACCTTCCTGCTGGAGCTATGGGCATTTTGGCCTGCTAGAACTATTTCTCCTCGTATATGCTGTTGATCGCATGCATTCCTGTTTAACAAATTTCCAAAATTATGGGATTGAATGTATCCAAGTCCCACATCATCATGAACTACAACTTTTAATTTTTTAAAAATTTTATTAAAATTCATGTTATTGGTAATGTTATTGTTGAACTTAATTTAGAGGTTCATTTCAACCCTGTATTACAGCCCGGGTTTGTGTAGTGGTTTCGGCCATTACAATACAGAGTTGATTAAATTTGAGTGTTTTTTTCATTTTCAGTTATTTATGTTTTTTTGATTCTGACTCATACCTTTCCCATATATATCTTTTCTTTTTATACTTGTACCCTACATATAAATCTTTTTTTTTTTTTTAATGATTAAAATAGATGGGGTAGATAATTTGTTTAACATATACGTCAAAGATGTGTAATTGATATAGTAATGATATATAAGTATCACTTAAGCTCATTTCCATTCTTATTTATTTATATTTGAGAATAATTAATGCTGTTTTGATGTTATTTTTGATACATGGTATTTCTAATGAAATATTTATTGTGATATTAAATTAAAAACTTGAAATTTTTTTGAATCTGAAGATTTGATGATGTTTTTGTGGCACTTATGCTGATCATTTTGTAGTTCTGTATTTTTTATATAATGATATATATATTTCCCCTCTCCATTTTAGGAATGTATTCACACAGAGAGAATGGACCATCCAGAAGGTATTCTTGTAATATAAATTCTACAGCTAATAAATTTTCAAATCCAGAAAAGGATAAAATCAAATTTCTAAAAAGTTTCACATGTCAGTTTTGTAATAAAGGATTTAAACATAAATGTCGCTTGCAGCAGCATCTTCGTGTACATACTGGCGAGAAACCATTCAATTGTGATATTTGTTTCCGACGTTTCACACGCAAAGAAGCTTTGAAATATCATGTTTCCATTTCCCATAAGAATAACTTTTAGACTTGACAACTTATATATGTTTATATTGTTTGTCATGTTTCATTTTGTTTATTATGATTTTTCTTTTTTGAATGAATTTTTGAAATAATTACATTTTGTATAAATCAAGATAACTTGTGTTCTTTAGCATTTTTTATGCATTTATCATTATATTTTATATATGTATGCATACATGCTTATATAGTCATTTTTTATTACTGTTGCTGTTTTAATGTATTTTTCTAAAAGGTGTCTTTTGTTTTAATTCTTGATCGGCTTGAACAACACAAGTCTTTTGAAGGAAACAAGATTAGAGCAAATACTAGAGGGAACAGGAGATCAAATTTATGGTTATCATTTTCTGTAAAATGTTTTACTTGTAAATTTTGTTCAAAAGGATTTCTCCAAGAAAGTTATCTGGAAAAACATCTCCTTGGCCATACTGGAGAAAAACCATTTAAATGTGAACTCTGTGAACAGAGCTTTAAAACATCATCAGTCGCTGAAATACCACAT